TGAAGTTGATGTGGTTCTGGGTTAGTATGTTGTGGTTGTTGATGATTATGTTGTTGCTGTTATTGTTGATGATGTGGTTGTTGTTGTTTGAGTGCTGCTGAATTTGTGTCGTCATCGTTGTGGCCGTGGTTGCCAGCAAGTGGTGGTGCGTTTGCTGCTTGTGGTTTTTCATTTGAAGAGGTAGAAATAGGTTGTTGTTGTTGTTGCTGCTGATGTTGTTGTTGTTGTTGTTGTTCATATTGTTAATGTTGCTATTGATATTGTTGCTGAATTGAAGCTGTCGTTGGTTGGGGAATGCTTGAACTGTTAATAAAATAATAATAATAATAATAATAATAACAGTAATAATTATAATATTATTACTATAAATAATATAAATAACAACAACAACATTTCTCTTCAGTTTTTTGTCTAGAAACATCACTAACAACACCGTAGGTTGTTAACCCCCAAGCATCTACTCTTTCTCTTTGTGCCTTTCGAACTTCGTCAACTCAGCACAGAACCAAAACCTACCATTACACCAACTCGTCACCCATCATTTTCATATTTGTCATCATTTCAATCGTCATCATTCTAATCATTATCATCATCATCATTATCATCATCATCATCATCATCATTTCAATTAAAATCATAATCTAAACTTACTGTGGTTTTTCCAGAAAGCTGCAGCAGCAGCCACCCAGTAAGCATTCTGTCGGGCCGGAAGTTCGGATAAGACGTCACGAACGACGTTGTATGGTTTGCCGGAAGTCATGGGGCATTTGGAAAGAGAAGAGCTTGCCCCAGCCAACAGGAGATCAGGATTTGAAATATCAGCTGATTGCTTGAGTGGGAGTATTGATGATGATGAGGAGGAGGAAGAGGAAGAAGATGAAAGTGAAAAGGATGAAGATGAAGATTGCGGAGAAGAGAATATGTGGTTAGGTCCAAGAAAAGAAAGCATTTTGATGTTGTTGCTGTTGTTGTAGAAGTTTTGATTAGTCGTTGATGACGTCGTCGTTGTTGCTGGCGTTGTTTTGTGATGTGTAGTAGGCTGGTTGTTGCTGTTTCTTTCCACATTACCTAATATGTCGTTGATACCAAATGGTGTCTTGGTGTGTTTTGTGTGCTTTTGTTGTTGTTGTTGTTGGTTTTGTTGTTGGCGATGCGGTTGTTGCGTGCTATTTGAATTGTTGGCGTTTAAACAATTTTTTGCTTCATTAGGTTTTTTAGTGCTATCAACGTT